ATATATATATATATATATATATATATATATATATACACACACACACACACACATCTCTCTCTCATTCGCGCGCACGCACTAACATACACACAAGCACCAAGCACACACACACAGGCAAAGCTTTCTCTCTCTCTCTCATTCGCTTAGCAATATCACTCCTGTCCCAAATTAAACCTGTTACCGACCGCTCCCGTGAGTTATTCGGAAATTTATTCCCGCGCCGCAGAAATCTGGTCGGGTCCTGCGGCGCCTGCGGGACAGCCTTGGAAATGCAGACCTCTACATGCAAGTGTTGTTGATTGAGTGATTTAGAAATGGCATAATTACGCATGGAAAGTAAATTGAAGCTGCTGTTTTTGTAGAATGAAATGCCATAAATGTCATGTATTTCTGAAATTCACTCTGTGAAGGGGAGCAGAATAATGTCCCATCAGTCCTCACTTCATAATCTGACCCAGGTGACTCGTTTCGGCCATAACAATGAGCAATTTACGGCTTGGTAAAGTTAAGCAGCAAGGCACAGTTTCTCGTTCTTGTTGTCTCCTAATCTGGACCAAAAATGCATCCATTTAAACTCAATCAGTTTATCGAACTTGCATGTGAACACTGTTTTTGATTCATCATTGACTCAAATCTAATCCCAACTCACCTGGATGTTGCCTCCGACTCCTGATCTCCTCATTTCTCAGTCTTCTCGTCTCCTGGTTTCTCCTGCACTTCACCCATTACCTGCAACCAAAGACTTTCAGTCTGGACAGGCAGCATTTTATACACCTATTTATTAAAAAAGTTCAGAGAAATAACTCATTTATCTGAGAACAGGAGTTTCCCTAAATGAAACAGTGAAAGTAAACATTCGAATGAAAATCTTAATAAAGGCATAAACACATTAAGGGTTGATAACCAATCAGACAACGTCTCTCAGAAACTTTGTGTCACAAGAGTGTTTTGGCAATGATGATTGTACTTAGCATATGTATGAACTTAATTCATGTGGATGTATAACTATTTCCGTTTAAATTACTGAAATCTTTTGTGTGTGTTTGTCTTTAGGGTGACAGAGGTATTCCAGGTTTACCTGGGCCACCTGGTAAAACAGGTGAAAAGGTCAGTTTTAAGTTTCAAGTGTTGTTTTATACTTAATATATAAATTTAATAATTTTACTGAACTTTGTTGCTGATAGTAGAACAATGGGTTACAATTAATTATTGGTGCTCAAAATATCTTTCCATTTACACTCACTGGCGACTTTGAAATCTGGCCATTCTCCTCTGACCTCTGGCATCAACAAGGCATTTGCACCCACAGAACTGCCGCTCACTTGATATTGCCTCTTTTTCAGACCATTCTCTGTAAACCCTAGAGATGGTTGTGCGTGAAAATCCCAGTAGATAAGCAGTTTCTGAAATACTCAGAGCAGCCCGTCTGGCAGCAACAACCATGCCACGTTTAAAGTCACTTAAATCCCCTTTCTTCCCAATTCTGATGCTCGCTTTGAACTGCAGATCGTCTTGACCATGTCTACATGCCTAAATGCATTGAGTTGCTGCCATGTGATTGGCTGATTAGAAATTTGCTTTAACAAGCAGTTGGACAGGTGTACCTAATAAAAGTAAGGTGTAATGGGCTATTTAGGTTAGGATTAATCTGATTGGTTTATCAATGATTGCAGATGAGAGACCAGCCACGATTAATCATTTCATGTGCTCCTCTTGAAATTATGGTGCTTTACAGTTCTCCACAGTTATAACATTGCCCAAAATCATCATATCATGACATTATCACAATGTAGTAAAATAATTACAACAAATGATGACACTTTGAAAACATGGAGGAACTCAATGGCCAACATATGTATGTATATTAGTCTAAACACTAAGATAAAATAGAATTAAAATAAAATTATGATACTTGGTGCTTACCTGTACTTCTGCTTATCATGACGGATGAGTCTGCATCTTCATGAGCAGGCTTCAGTTCTCCTAGACAACAAGTATTTACCATCATTCAATGTTTGAGGCTAGAAACACAGCACTGTTTAAATGTTATTCAATAGTGTGTATGCTAGGTGTTTCTAACATTTCTTATGTAAATTTAATAATAATAATAATACTTAATTTAATAATATTTTATTTATGATGCACTTCTTACACTCAAAGCACTACAGTGTATAGAAACAAAATAAGAATAAATAAAAAAAATCTAAACAATCTTGCATAAAATCACAGTAATAAATCACACCACAATAATCAGTAAAACAATAATAAAACAAAATTACTAAATAAGTTGCACTGGAAAATCACAAATTAAATGCTTTACTAAAAACGATGAGCCTTAAAAAGTTTCTCAAAGCAATCTTATGAATTTAAACTTTCTTAAAGCTTACATTTATTAAATATTTATTTAATATTTAATACTAGATTGCATCATTGAAGAAAAGCTTGATGTAAACAAGATAAGTGATCCATTTAATGTGTTGTTAGCCATGTGTTGCTTGTGGTTTGCTGATGTTTACCTGCATGGCGTGCGAGTTTGCATCTTCGTGAGCATGTTGCTTTCTTTTGGACAAGTCTGGACCCTCCTTCGGTGTTTTAGTCTAGAAATACAGTACGTTAATGTTTAAATGATGTAACATTTAATATTGTGAATATTCTGGATGCTACTTGAGGTCAATAACCGCCAGTTCGCTTAAAAGCAATTTTATAATAAAAGTTAATAATTATAATATTTAATCAAGAACTATATTTTCTGTATAATATCGTGAAATAATGGGAAGACTTACATATGAGTGATTAAAGACTCATCACAGATGCTGCTAGCGTCAACGTAAACTGTTGACAGCATGCGTCATCTTTACGCACGCCTCACAAACCCCGCCCTCCAAAGACACAGCAGCCAATCCGACGTCAGTAAACTCGTGCCAGTGCATGAACTGATTTCTGTTTCGCTAAAACTAATTTTGCGTCTCTTACAGGTAAAATCGACGCCAATTTTATGCATCAATATTTCAGCGTCTTCATTTTAAGCTATTCTAATATTTATTAGAATATTATTAGAATTATTTTAAATAATTCTAATAATTTTTAATAATGTTTTGTTCTTTTCTAATTACAAAAAAATCGGACTATACTTCTATAATAATAATAATAATAATAATATATAAACTTCATTAGAAAGAAAGAAAGAAAGAAAGAAAGAAAGAAAGAAAGAAAGAAAGAAAGAAAGAAAGAAAGAAAGGAAGGAAGAAAGAAAGAAAGATTGCAGCTGCCTATTTGTTTGGCATCCATGTAGCTTTGTAAGTGATTTTGAAGTGTTTCTCTGTTGTACTGTGAACTTTAAATGTAAGAGCACACTTATTATTTAATTTCAACCATTGTTTTTTTAACCTTAATGATTGTTTGCTTTCTCCTTAGGGGTCCGCTGGTAATCAAGGCATACAAGGACCACCAGGAAAAGATGGGCAAACGGTATTAAAATTTTCTGCTTCATTTTATAAACTCCAAACAGAGCATAAAGCTTCTTGTTTTTTATATCCAGCTCTTGCAGTCCTCAAAACAGTTTTCTTATGTCGGTTGACACGAACGTTGAGCAGTAATGCTTTGTAGTCTTGTTCTGAGACTCTTTGTGTAAACAGAGGCTTTCGCGCAGGCTCTCCGTTTTCCTAGCCAACCTCATATCTGTAATCCGTCTGGAATAACAGCTAATGAACTGCTGGAGCGTTCCCTGCGTGATATTAGTTAGGAAATAAATCCCGGTCCTGAAAAGTATTGATATCATCTTGGATTGAAACATGATGTACTTTGTGTTCAGTTAGATGCTGTTGATAAAAGTAACAATAGATTTCACAAGTCAAGTCGTTCTACTACACTCTCAGGAAAAAAGGTACACGGTGGTACAAATAATGCTCCTTAAGCAACAGTTTTGTACCTTTGCAAAAGTTGTACCTTGCTGCAGCCAGGATTCTGACCAGAACCAGAAAATCAGAGCACATCACAGCATGTCCTCAAGTCTTTACACTGGCTCCCAGTTACATTCAGAATAAACTTTAACGTATTATTAGGAGCTATAGCTACTAGCTATTGTTACTATTATTACTATTAGCTATTACTATTGTTATTCATTACAGATTTGCTCACTGAATACAAACCTCACTCAGATCTTTAGGATTAAATAAACTAGAAATTCCAAGAGTTCAGTCAAAGCAGGGTGAATCGGCCTTCAGCTACTAACAGCGCCCCCTGCTGCTGGAATCAGCTTCCAGAAATGATCAGATGTGCTTCAAGATTGGGCACAATCACATCAAGACTGAACACACATCTGTTTAGCTGTGCCTTTACTTAATAAGCACTGTGCTGCGTCTGACAGATCAACACAATTTCACGGCAATTCGTAACTTTTTCATTTAGTGACTAATTCGTATGAATTCGTACGATCTAATTCGTACAATTTGGTACGATTTGCTCATCCCCCAATGACGGTTGGGGTTAGGTGCCACGCCTCCTTTTTAAAATCGTACCATTTCATACGACTGAACTCGCACGAATTCGTACGAATTAGCCACTAAACTGGCAAAACGTAAAATACTTACGTTTTCTCGTGAGATCAGGCTGGACAGATCACACTACTTTGTTCTTTTTTTTTTTTTTTTTTATAACCTGTTTTAACACATTTTAATCTGTTTTTGTCTGTTTTAAATATTTATATTGTTTTTTTTTTATTTTCTTATACTTGTCTTTTCATTCTTGTTTAAGTAAATCACTTTGAATTGCCACTGTGTACGAAATGTACCATATAAATAAACTTGCCTTGCCTTATATGGTACAGAAAAGACCTCTTATGATGCTGTTCTGTACCATTTATGGTCCAATTGAAAAGAAAATACACAATTGTTCTCATAAAAAAGGTACAAAAGTGTAGAACAAGTGTCCTTCTTTATTACAATTTCTATGAAAATAAATATGACTGAAAAGGCAAAGTGATTTTATGAATAATTTCTATA